TATGTAGGCTAAACAGGTTAAAACAAAAAACAAAACTGAGACTTGTAGCAGACTTGTCGTCGCTAGCACAGCGCCATCTATAACCTAGTTAAAACAAGTTTCCTCCAGCTCCTCGCTCTTGAGCGACTATCCATTTTGCCGCGGGCGCCTTGATCAAAGGCTAACACGGAGGAAGAGTACAGAGATACAAAAGAAGTGATTCTAAGAAAAATTCATTTCCTGGATCCTTTAAAGATGGCGTGTGAGAGTGAGACCGTGAGATTGAATGGGTAAAGGCAAAAAGACTGAAAATACCAGAATAACGTTGGTGAAATCATTCTATTAATAGTCATTAGAAAGCGGAGAGACAACAGGTCATTTTGTGCTTGCACAAAAATTTGCGCCTACGATTATAAGAGGGTGCGCCGAAGATTTCACCAAGCCGACACAAAACTGCGAATAGCCCTACGGACGTGTGGCTAAGGGAGCGATAGCGAGGGTGCGGGCCACACTAGTGGGGCTCGGGTGTGAGGTACTATACTGTCGCCCATGCTTGAATCCGTCTATTTTAAATGGTTGACCCTGTGTGCCACATCCTATGCGAGCATAGAACTTCCAGTGGTTTTTTCTCTGGGGGAAAAAACATACCGTATTGTTAATTGCGGTGCAGTGGCTGTGCCACCTTCCTAGCACATTATCGCGTTGTCTTCGGCCAAGTCGAAAATCAACAGTTGCCAGAACTCTGCATCCGCTGTGAGTGGTTCCCGCTGCCTGGCTGCCTGGCTTGGCGAGTTCCTTACAATATTAGTTTACATGTAAGTTCCCTTTGTTTACCAGGCACAATTAAGTAACTTTTACTGTATAGTGCCCTCACCAGTCGAGATCATGAAAGGCCACTCTTGCAATGACACCCCATTGACTAAATGGTAATGATATCCAAAAAGGAGAATATTACTGAAGTTGTTTTGGTAAAAACCAGAGGAAAGAGTTCCACACACGAGGTTCATTTTACACCCTGTGTACAAACCCTCTGAGACTGGTCTGAAAAATTGTGTCTTCATTGAAAAAGCTTTCAATGACCTCTAACTGATTTCTGGGAACTAATTGGTAACTGAAGAAGAAGATGAGTGAACTTCCTACATGGAACTTTTTTTTTTCAAATCATGGAGAACCATTGGTGAAACCACAGGAATAAACTTCTTTTATTCAGGGGTATGCTATATTTATTCTTGTCTACAACAAGACTGATTGGAGATAGCACCACATTTATGGCACGCGAGTTTCCGCTCAGATTTCATGAAGGCCTTTGCCTCCCACCCTCTTCACCCCCCCCCATCCAATGTTGCATTAAAGATTGGTGTGCGCCCAGGGCGATCCATTGCAACGTTGGAAGGGGTGTGGCTGAAGGGGACGCAATCTAAACTACCCGAGTCTATGTTAACAAATGTTTCAAAACATGGCATTAGACACAAGGTTTCTGGCAATTCTTACAAATCATACGAGTCTGTTTGCGTTGGGTTCTCGTACTGCAAACAACAGAGTTCCGTTTTTGGCCTTGCCTATTTCTTCCGGGATAATGTCCACTTGAAAGGAGTGCAATTTCAGGGGCATGCGTTGTTGAGTTGCTGGTCCTGGAGGTGGACAACAGTTCATCGATGACCCGGAAATTGAAGCTAGTGAGCGGGCGCTTTGCAGGGATGCTGTTGTACACGATGGTAGATGTAAAGAAAACGTGTTTCCACCATTTCAGGGATCTATGATGATGTGTGTAGTACTGACACATTTGTGATGCTAAGTCACTTCCGCCCATGAACTTATTATAATCGTTGACGACGGCAGTTACTGGTGGAACTTTTTTGCAATGAATGTCTTAAGCGTCACTTTTGCAGTCGCCATAGGTTAGTCAGAACTGTGACACGTTATTGGCGTACTGCCAAACAACACATAGTTGCCCTGCTTTAGAGAAAAACTGGGGTGGATCATGTCGGTTCACGGGGACCTTTTTTTAGAGTTTGCACTCTCTGGAATGCCTTGTGTGGTATAGCGCACAGTTCCACCGGCTCCAAACCCTAGCTGGGACAACTTGTGCACAAGAGCGGGGCTATTGAGTGTACCAATTGTCCATGAAAACAACATGTCCATTGTTTTCCAGTCCTTTTAGTAGGTCGACGACAACTTGGCCTGATGCTGTAAGGTTGGGTGGATTGTTGGCTTCAGCGTACGCAACGGAGTGCGAGATGATTTGGTCTGATAGAGCCTTGGATCCAGTAATCACCTTCCAATCACATGTGTGACTGGTTTGAGACTCGTTCAAGGAAAAATATTTCAAGCCATATGTGGCCAACTTGCGTGGTGTGTACTGTTTAAAACCGAGTCGACCATTAAACTTTATCATAGTCTCATCCGGTGAGAGGTTTCGTCCGGGCTTATAGGTGCTACGAAACAATTGAACTACAATGTCCAGTATCGGACGCACTTTAGACAGTTTGTCACAGGGTGAGTCGTCTGCTGTGTTGTCGGCAAGGTGGAGAAATTGAAGGAGTGCTATAAATCGGTTGCTAGACATTACCGACGGATACAAAGGACTTCAAAGAACTTCACACCTGGACCAGTACATTGCGTAGCTAGGCCTTTTGTTGATGCCCATCGAGAGTAGCAGTGCGACAAAGGCCATTATTTCAGGAACATCTGTTGCAATCCAAGTACACTGAGAGTCAGCGGATTTTACACATAGTGTCTGATCTGCATATCGGTTGGTCCCCTCACCTGCAATTGCCAAATTGCTTCACAGAAGAAGAGTTGAAACATCTGTAGGGTTGACAGATGATTGAAATGGCTACACCCAGTCGGTTCCGTGAAGCATATACATATGCAGCAAGGTATGAGACGGAGAGAACCCCCCCTCCCCGCTTTGTATTGGTTTCAGACGTTTTGGGGGATGTGTTAAGTAACAATAGTCTGGAATGTGTATTGGGATTGGACATGTTGGGTGGGTACCCCTCGGTCTCATTTCTTGCTGGGTATAGTGAAGTTCACACGTAGTGGCTTTTGGTAAGTGGGGGTTGCTTATCATCCAGTCCTGCATTATTGAAGAATAATATCAGGACTAATAAATATAATATTTACAGAGTGTTCACACCAAACATCAAAGCACTGTACATGAAAAAAATAGGAATTAGGTAGGTAGGCTTTATTCAGCTGCTCATTGAAGAGGTGATAGATGGGGCTTCCTTGATTTGGGTTGGACTGAAATGCCTATTCACAAACGCTGCCTGTAAACTAAATCTTGATTCACCGCACATTGGGTTATATACATGTCGGACCCTGTGTAATTTTGGGGAAAATATGTAATTCTGGGATCCGACAAGATTTCTTAGGGGTCTGACAAGATTCCTGGGTCTGACTTTCCCACGATCCAACTATTCCCAAAGGGCAAATGTCCCCCAGATACAACCCAAGGAATGCCAGGCTCGGATTGTTCTGCCTGTAACCGGGGAGAAAGTATGGTCACGCTGGACAACGTGGCCCAACTCTAGTACCGGATTGGTCAGTCCCCAGTTGTCCACGTTTCTCTTATACATGTAAATGTTGTCCACCACCCACTTTCTGATTGGTAATCCTCGAAATTACTCCATTGTTTTAGTGTTTTAGTGTTTTGGCGTATCACAAGTTTCAACCAGAACCTGTATGAGCGCGTGATCGGTAGGGCTACTTAACCCCTGCCCCCAACCTCGTGTCTTCAGAAGCGAAGAAGACCTTAGTGCGAGTGCCGTCTTAGAGTGCCCTTTGCACTCATTTTTGTTTGTTCAGTTCAGGAACGAGAGCCGACTCCTCATATCGACGTTCTGTCACGTTCCTAACCTTCATTGAATCGATCACAGTTTTTTGACTAACCTTAAAACGATTGTGTATCCTTGCTAAAAGTTTGTTTATCCGCCTATCTTGAATACTTCCTTATTGTTATTTCGTTTTGTTCCGCTAGTTTATAATGTTTTTGTAGATTGTTTGTTTTATTTGCATTTTTGCTTTGTCGAATCACTGAATTGGTTCATTTGTTACATTACTGTACACAACCCTAAGTAGTATGTACGCTATAACTTCTGACCCAATGTCCAGCTTGCTCTGCAAATACTTGAATAAATCTTGTAGACTGCGACTAAGTAGTGTTGCATTCCCTAAATATCAAGTCGATGGACTTTATTAGTGTCTACGGGATGTGATATTTGTGGTCAACAATTTATTAAAAGGCGGACGTGAGACAAGGGGTTTGGGTGACAGTCAAACTGTGTTGTTGGTTTATTGCGCTCACTTCTCTTCATCAAAGTTTAATGTGGGTTCGAAGAAGGTGTAGCTTAACATAATACAAATCACAAAAGGCAAGTTATAGAGAGACAAAGTTGTATACGAGTGGAACTAAACTACAGTTTGGCAGGACCATTGGAAGTGCAAGTCGGACGGAGTGAGTACGGTATGTGTGTGTAGCATCGCACAGCTAGGCTACACTCATCGGGCCGGGCCGTGGTGGGAGCTGTCGCAGACCACCACGGTGACTAGCAAGGGCTGGACGGGGCCAGCACTGGTAAGTACCGACCGCACTGCCGCTCAGACTGCCATGTGATGAGCACAACGATAAAGTCGCCGCACTATGTACCATTGGCTCTGCGTAGAGACGGGGAGGACTGGGGCTAGTTAGCAAGACAAGGGTGGCGAGGGACACGGGAGTGTCTCGCCCGGCAATCGGTTCGGACGTAGCGGTGGCGGGCCGCTACGACTCTAGACGGGCCGCTGGTATATTAGAACGTTTCCACATAAGGCTCAACGAAGAGTGTAACCACTTGCCAGACTTCTCCCACATTCTATTCAAATGAGCTAGCTCACGTTACCGTTACTGTTAACCACAGATCACGCTTCGTGTCCCCCAATGGTGTATAGACCATTGCGTTTTCTACTTCCCTCATTAGGCCTATGGCATTCACACTGTAAATAATGTTCTGGGTGAACACTACCGAATACTTACGTTTTTCATTAGTAATAAGTTGTTGCCGTCTGTGATCTTCTTTATGTAACCTCGGTTTAGGTTCCCTTAATTTTTAGTAATTTTATATAAAGTTGGTTCTTAATGAGAAGCAACAGACCTCGGTGCGAGTGCTGTCTTAGAGTGCCCCTTGCACTTTTTTGTTCAGTTTAGGAACGAGAGCCGACTCCTTAAATCGACTTTCTGTCGCGTTCCTAACCCCTCGCAGCATCTTGTCACGTGCTCTGTTAATATAGAGCGCGAGTCCCCGGGTCACGCTTTGGGGAGCCGACCTGGTTCGTCTCTCCACCCGGCCTGCTTCTCACCTCCCAGGATGCCAAGACTCCGCCATTGACGCTTTCTGGACCGCGCCTAAGTTGGAGATCGCCAACACAAGTGCCGAAGGGAGAAACAGCTAAGGTGTTTCATTTGACTTTGTATATGTTCCATTGATTGATTGATTGAGTTTCTTTTATCATTGCTGCTTATTCTTAAGGGTGTACATTTCAGGGGTTTCGCGCGTGTAAGTAGTTTCATTCCAAATTTATTTTCAAATTGCTATCATGCGTTTAAGCTTACTTTGCTGTCCAATTCAAGATTTTTTGTGGAGCTGTTCCTTTTGTTGTTGATTTCGCGCGCGTTACTTTCAATCCGTTCCAAGATTCTATAACGACTGAACATTACATGCTCACACTGGTAGTTGTCTTTAGCATTTTTATTCTGATCTGGACTGCCATGTGTATTCTTATTATGGGATGTTTGGCTAGTAAATAATAATATTTGTGCCAATAAGGGAGCATGAGGATCAACTGACTCGCTATATGGGTGATTTTTTTTTTCTTCAGCAAAAAGTGTCATTCTGCCAAAGAAAGCGTGTTCTGTTTTCCGTATGATATGCCAGTTGATTGATGGTGACCTTTCAATTTCTGCTGGGAAACCATGACAACTTACTCTGCATTGAGACAACAAAGTACATTTCAGGGTTAAAGAATAAAGATTGGAATCCTTCCTTTTCCTTGATTAGCAATTAGGATCGCACCGACCTCACCCCAAGCCAGCTCCACGACCTCCTCACCACCTGCGTTAACTCAACCAACTTCCGAGAGCGGGACAAATTCTTTGAACAGTTAGCTAGAACCTCTATGGAATTGTCTATATCCCCGGTTCTGGCTAACATATTAATGGAAGAATTCATCAAATTCTTTGACGAAGTCTGCTCGAATTCAATTAGAGCAGACCGCCATTGCCACCGCAGACCATCGTCCCAAGATCTGGCTCCGGTATGTGAATGATACACTTGTCATCTGGCAGCACGGGCAAGACAACCTCCGCACTTCTTGGATCACTTCAATGGGTATCACAGCAGCATCCAGTTTACCTTTGAACAAGAAATAAATGGCAGCATTTCCTTTCTTGATGTTGAGGTGTGCAGAAGTCAAGATGGCCAACTCTCCTGCAACGTGTACCGCAAACCCACACAAGTGTGTATTTGCCTGCAACTGGGGGCCCCATGTTGTTCCTCTTTTGTTTGTACAAGACCACCCGTATGTTTTGTACACAGTTGTCAATCGGGGACCCTCTGTCAATCGGAGACCTTATCGTCCTCAATTGTTCAGGGTCCCCATTTGAATGCAGAAACAAACTCACTCACACCCACAGATACCTCAATAGCTGCTCCTTCCATCACCCCAAAATCAAGTCGTCTGTCAACCGAGCCCATGTTCGCAGGGTCTACAACATCTGCGACAAGGAACACCTCGCCAAAGAACTGCACCACATCTCCACAGCATTTCAACGAAACGGCTACAAGCCTCAGCAGATCAAGACCCAAGTCCAAGAACCCCTCCCGACCGAAGGGTCTCCTATACCAAAAGCCAGCTAGATAAGGTCCCTAGTTTTGTTACTCTCCCCTACCTATATAGGTTGTACATCCCATCACATCCAGCGTATCCTGAGCAAGTATGACATCAAGGTATTCCACACAGCCCCTCTCAAGATCCGTGGCATGCTGACATCCCACAAGGACCTACAAGATCCGCACCACCGACCAGGGGTGTACAAGATCCCCTGCCAATGCTGTAAAGAGTATATCGGCGAGACTGGTAGGGACCTCCCCACCAGACTCAAAGAACACCAAGCTCATTGCAGGAAGGGAGAGTATGAGAAGTCCGGAACAGTCGAGCATTCCCACTCTGAAGACCACCGCATCAACTGGGACCAAGCCAACCTCATCACCAGCATCCAGCACTGGTACCCAAAACGCATCAGAGAAGCCTTGGAGATCCTCAAGCACGACATCGTTCCCCAAGACATTGGCATTTCCATCAGTGACATCTGGCAACCCCTGCTCACCTCCTAGTCCAGTGGGTCCTCTATACCCTAGGACACCCCACCCCACCTATGAGTCTCCTATACCCCCGGCTACCTCACCCCGCCCACCTCACCCCGCCCAAACCTATGCCCAACTGACACGCCTCACTGACCACTAGCATCCTCGTCACACCCCACTACATCCAGTCACCTTATATAGACAGCTCCATCTTTAGCATCTCGTTGTTGTGGGTGCGGGTTAGCGTAGCGGTTCTTTCCTGGACCTTCTTCCTTACTCCATAATGTGATGCTGATTAATAAAGTGTACGAATAAACGTACAGTTATTGGCGCAAATAACCTGAGATGCTGAAAGCGCCATTGAAACAACACAACAGCATCTCTTCAGTCTCCTGACGACGGACTGAGCACGTATGAGTATACTCCCGGTCCTTTTCAGAACCACACATATTCATGAGAGATATATTCCTTCGCATGGTGCTACCGCAAGCCTTTCCACCTAGTATTGAGGTTAATAGATCCTAATCTTAACTTATAGATAATAATTTGTTGCCACCCTGGGAGGTTCCAGGATTTCATTCTAAGAGATGCGATTGGTTGGATAGTTTTAAGCTCCGAATTCTTAGTGTCATTCCACTCTTGTTGCTAGTTGTATTTAAGATGATTGACAAGAATATGTTTTACTTCAGTGTCAGTTAAAGGCAATTTGACATCTATGTTCTCTTTCTGACAAGCTTTTTTTTGCGATTTGATCCGCTCTTTCATTTTCCTTAATCCCATAGTGACCAGGGATCCACTCAAATGTGACATGATTGGCTCGATTTTTAATACATGTTATCAGTATGGCGGGCAGTGAACATGCTTTCTGTTATGTTCTCCCGTTTATTGCGACATTAGCTGTTACCAGACCACTTGGATACTTGATTCATATACCATCGGATGGGGTTTTGATCACTCTGGTATAAGTTACCATGGATATTTCAGAGGGTCCTGCCAGTTCGGGGGCATTTTTCATCCAGATTTTCATCAGTCCTTGCCTTCAATTCAAGGTTTGTACACTAGGCTGCATTGCATGCTTGACCAGCTCCATCGTCCACAATGGCTGATGGCACACTTCAAGCCACTGTGGCATGATTAACTGTTCATTGTGCCTTGCAACACCACTCAATACAATAGAATAGTCAACAGACAAAAGCTCTCTAGAAGCAGAACTCTGTACTATGCAAATGCTACAGCAACTTTAACATAATTCTAGCTGGTGATGTTGAAGTCAACCCGGGTCCAGAATCTTTAGAGTCTCCTAGTTTCTCCCATGGCAGTGTCCTCCTAGTTTATCAGCAGAGTGTGAGGAGTCTGTAGAATAAACTGGACGTCTTTCACTCCTCATTGGCCACTCATCTTCAACCAGAAGGATTTTTCAACTTCTTCGCCCTCACTGAAACCTGGCTGACAGAGGCTGTGTTTGATGCTGAATTGGACATTCCTGACTACACCATCTTCAGGAAGGACAGGTGTCGTAAACGAGGTGGCGGAGTGCTGTTGGGCTGCCATAATGATTTTGAGTGCCGTAGAAGACCTGAACTTGAGCAGGATAATCTTGAGCTATTGTGGGTTGAAGTCAGGCTGTCCAGTCGCAACAAAATGCTGCTTGGCGTGTTCTACAGACCCCCAACAGTGGTGTTCCAACTTAAGAGGATTTTTGCCGACTGCCTGACTAGTGTCTCACGCCAGTACAATGCCATATGCATTGTTAGAGATTTCAGCTTGCCTTCACTACAGTGGCACTCGGACAATGGTCTTCCAGTTTCAAGTGAATCCACCATGGATGATGTGTTTATTGGTGCAGTCATGACTGCTCACAGTCTGCACGAAATAAATCTTTCCCCAACCAGAGGAGAAAACATCCTTGACCTTATCCTTTGCTCTGACCATTTGCAGGCCTCCAGTGAAAGTGGCGACAACGTATTTGCATCGGACCACAATTCTCTCAGAATTGAATTTTATGTGCCTAAAATCTTCCAACTTCCACAAAGCTGGTCTAAATGACATTCAGAAAACAATTGACTGTAACCCGTGGTGTCTTCTAGAGGCAAGTGACAATTGTGATGCCACTGCCTCATTGTTCTATGACTTTATGAAGGCTGCATTTATCGATGTTGTACCGACTATACGACCACGGCGTCCGTCTCCCCCGTGGTTTGACAGTGAAGTTCGTCAAGCACTGAGAGTCGAGGAACGAGCGTTTAATAAGAAAGAGGCCCATCCTACTCCTGAACACATGGAACTTTTCAAACTTGCTGGCTCCAATTACAAGCGGATTGCTTGGTCAAAATACCTTACTTACTGGTAGGAAACATCGAGTTATTGTTGACGATTGTTGTTCTAGCTGGAATTCAGTACCCTCTGGTGTTCCCCAAGGCTCGGTACTAGGACCAACTTTGTTCAGCTTGTTCGTTAATGACATATCCAAATGCCTCAATAATAAATGTTTACTCTTTGCCGATGACTTGAAGGTTTTTGGTAAGATTGTCTATACCACTGATGTAACTTCACTGCAAGAAGATTTGAATAGAATTATGATATGGTCTCAAACTTGGAAATTATCTCTCAATGCCAGTAAATGTAGTGTTTTGTCGTTGTCACTTAAGAAGAAACCCCTCAATGTGACTTACACTCTTGGTGACACTGCGCTTAAGAGGGTAACAATTCAGAAAGATCTTGGAGTTTTTATCGATAGTAAGCTAACCTTTATTCCCCACATTGATTCAGTTATTAAAAAGGCTAATCGTATGTGTGGTTTAATTTGGAGTAACTTCCGCTCACTGAAAAACGAGTATGTTCTCCGTACTTTGTATTGCTCACTAATTAGGCCCCATCTAGAGTATGTACGCTAGTGTTCAATTCAATCTCTGCTTATCAGGCTCATAGGATTGAAAAAAGTCCAGTGTCGCTTTCTTAACTTCATGCATAGGAACCTAACTACCGGTAATGTTAATTCTGTCAATCTTGATCACCTTGATCTTTGTGAATTGTACAGCCTCCCAACACTTAAACACAGAAGAGACGTCAATGATTGTTCGTTTTTGTATAAGCATTTTCACAACTTTTTCTCTACTATGAATGCCAACCCATTTACCTTACATACTCCAACACTACGGACAAGGCATGCACACAAACACATCCTCCACGTCCCATGGCGTCGCATTGAGGTGACTAAACGTGGCTTTATCTCAAGGGTTTCTTCCACCTACAACGGGCTTCATGGGAAGTGTGATGTGTTTGGTGCACCAAACCACCACCACCAACCAAGCCTTTCTAGACTATGATCTTTTTATATACAATCTCTGTGTATGCCAACATGTATTTGATGTATATTTTTATATGGCTTTTTTATGTATTCTATTCTTCTTGATTTTTAGCTCAGCTAAGAGTTCAGCTGTGAAAATCGAGGTTATCATTATGTAATCTAACGCCCTTAGAACAACCAGGCTGGGGTATCTAAAAACCACATTCAGTTGTATTGTTCTTATTTTTTGAGCCATCGGTATAGATGCAATGTCCAAAGTCCCGGCCATTTCACCTTGTGGTTTTTGGAAGGACGCGCAAAGTGCGTCTCCAAGCCATCTCGTCCAATCAGACCGATGTCGAACGGGAGAGAGCGCTATCTACATTCCCGATGCAAGCATTTTGGTCTGTGTGCCAAAGAGGAACGTTGGTAATGTAGTGATATTTAAATCGTGGGACACAAAGGCTCGTTGTTAAAGAACCCCCATGCCACTTAGAACCCAACTGGCACTCACTTCTGGGGCTGAAAGGGTTCGATATGAAAAAACATCGAACAAATATATTTTCAAGATCGCACATATAAAATGTCAAACATCGCATAAATATATTAAACATTGCACATGTATAAGTTAGATATTGAACATATTTATGCAGAGCATCGCACATATATCTTAAACATCTCACATGTATATTGGACACAGCATATAAAGTTTGCACATTGCATATAATAATGAAAACGATTGAACACATATTGTGGACATCACACATAATATGAAAACGTTGAATATTGAAACATTTGGCGTGCCATACAATGATGTTATGAATGGACTGTTATGGAACGTGGCGGGGACCTGACGTTTTTAACAGAATGCCTTGGCGAATACATTGCATGCATCGTTTGATAAGCCTCGTTTCGAGGCTTCACGGAAGCTAATCGAACGCACCGACTGTCTGTAGTTCCCATTCTGTACATTTTTTCATTTTGGTCTATATCACAACCAGCTTGGCGTTGAGGCGGCGGCCACGGCGCGTCCTTCTATTTATCAGTTTCGTTCTGTATTTATTAGTTTCATTTTGTATTTACTATTTCCGATCTATATTCGTTAGTTTCGTTCCATATTTATAAGTTTCGTTAGTTTTCGTCCCACATAAATCACCTTTGTCCTTTAAATGTGCTTTTGTCCTATATATAGATTGGTTTCGTACTTATATGTATTAGTTTCGTCCTTTAAATACTTCTTTCGTCAATTATATATTTGTTTCGTGTTAGATTTATTTCACTTTCGTCCTATATATTAGTCTCGTTTGATATTTTTGTACTAATAAAGTCATAAGGGGCGCCTCATTCCTATCAAGTCTTTATGCTGGAGATCACTGATCTGGATAGACTCAACAATGTCAAATTTACTGCTTGCGATTGCGCAGTTGCTTGTAGGCGGTGTGCCCTGAATGTCAGTTGCTACCCTCCTCGGACGCTTTCCTCTGGAGTTATTTTGGGAATAAATAGCCAAGATTTTGTGTTTTACTTTAATCAATTTACGTCATTTATATGAAACTATTTTATGAGATCTCATGATCTCTCCTAGTAGTGAAATTGTGCATCTCGTTTGTTATGAACTTAGCTTTCTGGTAGTGGTCAAGATGTTGTTTGGCCAGTCTTAGTCTTTGATAACTGATGTTTTCAAGGGACAAAAATAAAATTACAAACATTGAAATGGATAATTGAACAGCGTATCAAAATAAACAAGCTTTATATTCAAGATGGCAAAAGTACGTCTAACGTCAAGGATTTTTCTCACTCTATTTTCTGGTCACAGCGAAAAGTTAGTTAATTGCAAGCAAAGCACCACAAGTATCGCAAAAATATTACTGGCCCTACTTGTCCGGCGAAGGTGTACACAGTACTCGAACACTTTGGAAAGTTTTCTATTATTCCTCTGACTTCGCGGGGACGATCCTCGAGCACTTTGAAGTGCCAGAGTTATAACTCCTTCTGTGTCCTTCCTCAATGACAAAAATTAAATATCAGTCTTTGTGAAATCTCACAGTTCAAAATGAAGTCAGATGATGCATTCTTGCCCCGAATATTGTCAAGTGCTTTAAACCTTTATGAAATTGAAAAGAAAGCGAGAGGTTATCTGTCTGTTTGCCAATAGAACAGAGGGCTTTTTTGCATTCTTTTGGACATTTGAACAACTACGGCATCATCAAATCAAGTCATTTTTCGTACATAACACCCCTCTTTCAAGTTATCCGCTATGTTTCAACCTGATACAACATGTCCTTCAGGAGATATAGCGCTTTAAAAAGTGCACCTTTAATGCCACGTGAATTGTCTCAAGATGACGTAATTACCACATGAGGTCAATATTCCTCTAAAGCACTCCTTTTTCAAGAAATCTCCAAGATTTGAACCTGATAAGATATCTACTTTAGGAGATATAGGGCCTTAAAGAGTGCACCATTTAATGTCACGTCACTTGTCTCCTAATGAAATCATCGTGAGATAAGGTGAACATTCCTTTAAACCACTCTCTTTTCACGATATCTGCAAGATTTGAACCTGATAGGACATCTACTTCAGGAAATATAGGGCCTTGAAGTGTACACCTTTAATGTCACGTGACGTTCTCCTGATGACATAATCATCACATGAGGTCAAAACTCCTCTGAAGCACTCTGTTTTCAAGATATCTGCAAGATTTGAACCCAATAGGACATGTACTTCTGGAGATATAGGACCTTAAAGAATGTATTCTCCGTCGACGCCGGTCTGCAAAGTCCACCCTTATTTGCATATTCATAAATATGCAATTACCACTCTAAAAAACAAAATTCTTTGATAATATCTAACATAACAATAATTGAGTGCACATTTCAGATTTTCTTTGTACACAATTTAAGAAAGAGAGTGTAGGACCACTATCGATGAAATCTGTTGCACTATCCTGGACATTTTGGCGCACAAACTGAATTTCACTTTTGTAAAATGTGACTAGAAAGTTGTACTGTATGATATACACTCTGAAACCATTGCCGCATTCATTGGCAGACGCCGTGTGGGATTTGTAAGTCTGGTGTTGTCATTGACTTCATCACCCGTCGTGTTCGAGGTTCACGACTTAATACGTCCCCACGCACATCAGGTGCCAAGCCATTTTTTAAGCGAACGAAAGAGTAGAATCCATGCAAAATTAATAACATTTGACATTTCGATAATGTCGTTATGAAAAAGCGATATATTGGTATTGGACAAAACACGATGTCGATAGTTACTACATCAGTATATAATTTGAGGAATACTCTACCCGACGGAATTAAAAGGATTATTAAAAATTTAATTGCAAATCACTTGATGACGTCATCACGACGTCGCTATTTACGTATTATCTTCGCTTTATGGGGAGTACTTGGTGTAACTTTGATGACAACGAAATATTGTTAAGTTTAAAAAAATGGTGCCTTGAAAACGGGTACAAAGTCAATGGGCTGAAATAAATATTGAAAAATCAATAATTAATCACTTGATGACGTCATCATGGCGTCATTTTTAAGGACCATTTGTGCACAAGGGGTCTTCATTGTATGAAGATCCAAAGTTGCAAAAGCACGAAAGTGGCGGCGACGAAAACGTGTACAAAACAAAAGGGCTTTTGAGCAGAAGAAGAAGAAGAAAAAAAAACAGAAAAAAAGGAATGATTTTTTCGCAAAATTTCGAAAAAGCCAATTAAAACTTGTGGCTACTGATCTAAAACACACAAGGCCAGCCTCTTCCTGGGAGTCACCAGCAGGTGGCGCCATTTCCACCCTGTCTGTGGATGCGATAGCCAATGGGAGCACAGAAGCCATGCCGGGCGGGTATTAAGGCATGCACTGTACTACCACATATCCTGTGCACGTACGTCAGTAATTCATAATTGGGCCTGCGACAAAATGGCTGGACAATACCGTTTGGTGGTAGTGTTCCACCGGCAAAATTTCACCATCTTTCGCCCGGTTTTCCTGCTGTTAGCTTTCATCTGTTCTACCATCCTGGCCCAAGATTCTGCTGTGCCCTGCTACGACGGGAATGGCCGTGCCCAGCGCTGTCAGCCCGAGTTTGTGAACGCCGCTTTTGAGCTGGATGTGGAAGCAACCAACACCTGCGGGTTATACAGAGCCTCTCGATACTGCAGACAGACCGGGGTAACGGGGGCTACCCGGGCCTGCTCATACTGCGACGCCTCATCCCGTCGGTTCAGCCACCCTCCAAAGTACCTGACTGACTACCACAAGGAAAAGAAGATGACCTGGTGGCAGAGTGACACTATGTTTGAAGGAATTCAGTTTCCGAATTCTGTTAATCTCACCATTTCACTAGGTAAGGTTCAATTTGTCCGTTTCGGCTAAAATGTTGCATCCTGACTCCACTTTTCTCATCATATATAATCTCAATAAAAGTTACAGAAATGCTGGAAAGACGTGGATTCTGGACTGAGAAACATTTACCAATGTTGTTGGGAAATATTTGGAAATTTTCTCTTCACTCCCCATAGACTTTGTACAGAACTGCTGAAGTGGAGTCAGGTAGCCCCACTAGTGTGGCACGGATCACTCCCGATTTATCCTTAGCCACACATCCGTCTACGCAATTTCATGTCGGCGTATTGAACATTCCGGCGCACCCACTTATCGTGGGTGCAATTTCTCTTGCACACGAACATGATTCTTGACCTTTCCGCTTTCTAAAAACCATTTATTGAATGATTTCACTCACGGTATTCAGGTATTTCCCAGTCTTTTTGCCTTTATCCATTCAACCTAACGGGCTCGCTCTCTCAGTCACCATCTTTAAAATAAGGTCGTCTCGACGGCTTTTCCATGTCAAGATAACTAAACTGCTGCCAAAGTTTTGGAAGAGCCCATTGGTACATGTAGTATATTATCGCTCAGTCCGTGTTTTACATATGTCTTGACATGGAACAGCCAAATTGGGGTACATTTCCGTTTAAAAAATACCACTTGGAAAGAGTTCCATACACAGACGCAAGAAATTATTCCCTACAATGATCTATCATCCATTAGAAAGCAAAAACATGTCCAGTAAAGTTTAATTTAGGAGGGAAAATACCCAGTTTATTCACTTGGTGTCAAGTGGCGTTGCATATAGAACTCTTTCCGTCCACTTTCTCAATCAAATCTTCCCCCCAAAAGTAAGCTCCGTCGATAACAGATAATTGCCGATATTGATATATCGGTGGCCCAATATCAATAATACCGAGATATCAATTTTTTTCGTGGGATATTTTCAAGCAATGCCAAACACCTTCTGCAGTTAGGCGGCTTACCATGGCTCACCTCATTTTAATATGAATGTGCTCTCCTGAGTCTTGCCAGTCCATGATCACCACAGCCAGCTCTATGGCTTGCCTCTCAAAAAAAATGCAGAACTGGCAAAGTCTCAGCAGACCTTATTGATGACGGTTCAGTTCTCTTACACCCAAATTAACTGACTTGCTAAACCTGCCCCCAAAACACAGTACAATTTTCAAGTTTGAACCATGCTACAGTGGGAAAGTGTTTAGTGCCTATTGTACTATCAGGCTGATTCAAGAACAACTTACCGGTACATATGAACTGACCTATAATGCTGAAGTACATGAATTCAATTTTTGGGCTTCGTATTGATTCAGCCAACTTGGCAAACAGTCGTTGATGGCAGCTTTGGGTCATTGCCAAGAAAAAGTGTAGGAACTGCATGTGTAAGCTGTGGGGTTATCGGTCTCAGTTCCAGGCGTCAAGGATTATTTGGGTCATTGTAGTAGAGCACTGTTCCACATGATTTGGGACTCCCTACGCTAACCAACATGCTGGCCATAAAGAGGGCACATTCTGCACGATCTGGCATCAAGTATTGGGGTCCCAAGCAAAGACTAAACGATTGAAGAAGCCATGAAATTTAACGAAGGGCGCGCAAAAGGCATAAATTGTCAAAGGTTTTGCTCCAGGTGTAGATTGGCCAGTTTAAATGTCTGGAATGGCCCAGATTCCCGTGGACCTATCACAGTGCTGATTTTGGAGCCACATCAATAAAGAAATAGTAAGTACTACCATGACAACACTATTAAACTGGGTGCCTGTGCAGGGCTTTTGATGTATTTCCATGTTTTTTTAAAGGATGTAACCTTTACATTATGTCCACAGTTAATTTCTGTCATTTCAATCCCGAGGTCTATCTAGTCTTCACAAACAAACCCTAAACGCTCAGTAATAACTCATGGTTCTACCACTTGAGTCTTGATTCCAACGTAAACAATAATGATCACACAGTTCATTCCAGATCTATCAGAGTGATGAATGTACTCAATAAAATATTTTTTAAACAAACATTTGATGGTGAAAATACTACAATTTGGCCTTCAGAGTTCTTTGATCCAGGTAGACTTAGCATTTACTCAGGCTTTTGTTTAGGATTAGGTAAAAGATGGTTTCAGATCGTCGCACTTCATTCTTTGCCTATCTTGCACGTGTAATAAGATAAGGTGTCTAAGTTCACATGCACATCTATCTAATGTCATACGTACGATGTAAACAGAACAAAGGTTGCAATTAGCATATAAGAGTACATGTATGAGACCTTGGGAACTACACTGTATTTATGATCCATATATGGGAAAATGAAAATAATGTGGACCCTTCAAAGGATCGCAAAATATGTTAACCCTAATCCCCTCAGCATTTTTTTCTAGAAGGCTGACTCTACTTGTCAAATCCCAAACCCTGTCACTGCTGGGTGGGGTATATGTACTCAACCCGCCAGATTCCAACAGTCCTCATGCTCTATCAGTACTCAGTCCAACAAACTCCACCAGGCAGTAAATTGTTGGGTTTGGGCTGAGTGGGGATACTTGGTCATATGCCATGTAAAAGGAATGGGGCACAATGTGCTCATCCCGTCAAGATCCAACAACTGCAGGGCTATATAAAATTGTCTTTGTTGGGGGGCCCTCAGATTTCTTTGTTTTTATCTTTGACTTCTCTTAAAAAAGCAAGGTCACCAAACACACTAGGTCAAACTTAAATAAAATCAAAATATTAAAATTAGTACATGTATGTACAGTTCCATTATATGCGAACATTAGGCTCTTGGGTTATGTGTACATCATGATTTTGTATTCTTTTACCAATTTGAAAACAAATTTCTTAGTTAGATTGGGTAGTAGGAAGTACAAGTATTTTTTGTTTGGCCAAAGCAAAATACCAAGCAATCAAGCATGCATCCTGTGACAAATACCATTCACTTCATGAAGCATAGCTTAAATATGGGGTAAAGTATCATCAGCCAAATACAATATGTGTTCCTGTAGGGTTACTTTTTGTGCTTCGCTAGGTACAGTGTACTTGTGAAAGTTAGTCCTTTGGTTGTCTGCAATCCTCGGAATTGGTCTTTTCAATTTCTGGTGCAAAGGGTTGAACATTTCAAGGGCAGATGAATTTGTTTTTGGTAAATAAACATACATGTATGTGCTGGAATTTAAAAGCCTTTTGTTTAGTTTCATAATGAAAAGTTAAATCTAAGATGGTATTGTGTTGTTCAAAATAATCAAAATTATGAAAATGCATATTTGGGATTTTGAAATGCATATTGCGGAGAGTGCTTAATTTTGGGGCAGTTCTTGATATTGGGTTACTACAGTATTGTAAAGACTCAAGGAATGAATTTAGCTTTTTATCTACATGTACATGTACAAATTTGTCTGCCAATCCCACTTGGGTTGTTTAATATTATATACACCTGTACATGCTGTGATATGATCTGCCTTTTAAAATGATTGTCACCTTGTGAAATGCTCATTGATTTTGCTCGTCTGAAAATTGTAAAAAGGTATTGAGACATGTTTACATTTACACAAAAATGTCAAATTAGAATATAATAATGATTAAGAAAGGCAAAGTAACACAATCTGAATGGGATGACAGAAATGTTCAAAGTTTAACTTAACTGCAGAGCAGTGCAATTTAAAAATTAAAAAAAAGGTCACACGGAACTGTACAGTATTCCTGAAAGCTATTGTAAATGGTGCAGATTGCTTTTTGGATAAAAACTTAGTACGGCAGATTCTCATTGTGCCCTTTGGGGGACTGAACATATCCATGCAACTAGTACAACTGCATTGTGTACATTTTATGCCATGGACCTACATGTACACAATGCAGCAGAAAGTTTTAAGGCTGTGCACATCAAGTTATTTAGAGAATAACATATGTACAGGTCACCTAAAATTTTGTGAATTTTTACCATAAATGGTTGTTTTGATGTGGGTGTATTTGGCTTGGGTGGTATTTCGGTATTACTGAATACCGCCTTTTTAAATACTGAACAATACCGACTAACAATCTATGAATACCGGAATACCGGCTAATTCGGTATTCAATAATGTATATTCAGACAACATCATGTACGTCAATCTCCAAAAGCTCTGCCTTCACGTTCCATATAAGGCCAATGATGTAAAAAATAGCCGTAAAAGACGATGTTTGATTGTAGTAGGACTTGTGCTCGATCTTAAGGCTCCCCAGAGAGAAGCCGATTTTGCCTGGTGGACCAGTCGCACGCGACGAGATTTTGTGAGCGAGGTGGCCTATAAACTTGTCTTTTGTGTGGTCAAGTTGTACGTACACACTGTGATAGCATTTTCAAGAATTCTAGTGGTTGTTCCAAAATCTCAAATAACAAAATACCGTTATCCATAAATCGCCCCTTTGGCCACGTGCATGTTCAAGTGACCATGTGCGTATGTACAAGTGTATACATGTCTGACCACGAAGTGAACCAAACCAAACCTTGGCGCTTGAAGCATTTGTAAATTTCCACCTCTTCTTTGCTTAGAGGCAGATTTCCTTGTGTCTGTTTTATTTTAAATCATACAATTTCCTGTCAACTTCAAATGATGTGGTCTCAATGTATATTTTAAAGTATAATTTGATGGGATATCGATGTATTCTGAATGCTTGCCCCTGGTTTGAGGCACTAAAGAGGATTTTGTAAAAAAAAGTAACATCATGACTGCATGATTTGCTGATCATAATTGTTACAAACTACTAGTTTATAATGTCCATACTTGAATCATATTCAAACACTTTCTTTGAAAATTATGGTTTAATGCTGAATAAGTGTAGAAAGTTATTGATTCACAGTAAACTGTAACATTAAACAGTGGTGTAAGCCGATGTTTAATATCTTTACCCTCCTACTAAAAAGGAAATTTCATGGTGCTCCCCTCAAAACGTACGATATAACGCAGTCTTGGCATTTATGGAATAATTACAGGTGGTTTTCAGTTTTAGGACCCACGAGGGGACGACTGTGCCACAACCCAC